TTCTGGCCATTCTCTGTCTATGTACTGCTCTAGTAATTTTTGGATCATCAGCAATATTTTCCTTGCATGTGATAGTAGTGATATTGTTTGACAATTTCCACATTCTGTTGGATTATCTTTATTAAGAATGGAAACAAATATGGATCTCTTCCAAACAGCTGGTCAAGCAGTTGTCCTCCAAATTTTCTGGCAGACTGGTGAGCACATCTAGGACTATTTATGTTTTTAAAACATGTCAATTTCCACCCAATCTATTCTTGGCACCTTATTTTCTGCCAATGCCTTCAGTGAAACAACAACATCTTCCTTCATTACCATTGGCTCTTGTTCATATGGTATATCCCGTAATTTTTCAGTGTCAACCAATTCTTTTTAGTATAGTGATAGTATAGCCCTTCTTCTGTATCAATGTTTCTTGGGTTAATCAAGATTTTTGCCTATATCATCTCTCAGTGTTACACTCTGGGTCTGATTTTGTTTTAAAATTAATTCAGCTTGAGAAATGCTGAGAGAGATTTTTTTTTTAATTCTCCAACTCCAGCACTTTGCACATTCCATTATAAAACTTTGTCACTTTATGCTGCCTTTTGAAATCTTTTATTCAGCTATTTTACTTCATTATCTCTTATCTTTATTTTGGAATCTCAGTGCTTCTGTTCAATTTTCAGAAATCTTTTCTGACATCCATTGTGGTTTTTCCTTTTTCCTCTGTATTTCTAAAGATCTTTTGCTCTCTTCATGGATGATTTTCGTTTTTCTCATTCTACAGAATCTCTGATCTTTAATTGCTGGTGTTCATTGCCCCAAATCTGTTTTTAAGATGATTTTTAAATCCATGTATGGTAGGCTCAAAGTCAGATATCATTCTTTCAGACTTTTCATTTTCTTCAGCTTCAATTTGAAATTGTTTTTGTAGTTGTTATGTGCTGTCAAGTCAAGCATGGCTCTATATGGCCCAGAGCACAATCGCTCTGGACGGTGCTCTGTTGTGAGTCAATCTCATTGTCTTTGACATACCTATCTTCATTATCCCAGTTACTGCGTCAATCCATCTCATCTGGGATCTTCCTCTTTTGTGCTGTCCATCCACACTTCCAGGCATGATGTCTTTCTCCAAGAATTGGTCCTGAATATGCATGAAGTATGTAAGATGGAGCCTCAAAATTTTTGCCTGCAAGGAGCAATTGGCTTCACTCTCTCCAGGAGAGACCTGTTCATTCTCCTGGCAGTCCATGATAAGTCAATACCTCCAGCACAACAACTCAAAGGCATCTATTCTTCTGTCATCTTTGGTCATTGTCCAACTCTCTGATGCATAGCAATTAATTTCAAAGACTATGTCCTAGATCAGGTGCATTTTAATCTCTAGACTGACATTGTTGCTCATTAGCATTCTGGAGAGGTTCCTTGTAGCAGATTTTCCCAGTACAAGTTGTTTTTTTATTTCCTAACTGCTAATGCCAAGAGCAATGAATGGGTCGTGGTACTAGGGATGTTGTAGCCGATGTTAGATGGATCTTAGCTGAAAGCAGAGAATACCAGAAGAATGGTCTATCTGTGTTTCATTGATTAT